AGGGGGTAGGGGAGGTAGAATGATGGCAAAGATTTCATCAAACTCATTTCAAGATAGCTAATTCTCACTCTCTCTCCCTCACTCTCTTCCTCTCTTTTTACTTATATAATTTCACTTCTACTTAAAACTGCTCCGATTAAAAGGAAGCCTAGCAAATTAGTGGATAGTTGAAATTGAATGGAAATGAATGAAATAAAGAAAAAAATATCAGAATTTCAAAAAGAGAGACTCCTTTCCTCATTAGCAATTAACGTTTTTTAATACCCTCATTTTACTCTGTCTTTCACCTCTTCATTATTACTTATTAATAAATCTAATTCATTTAACTAAAGGACATCTAAATTTTGCTTCAATAATATTTATTTAAGAAATTTGAGAATTTTAAGCTAAAAATACATGTTTGCGCCTATTAAAAGTGGTACTAGACTTCTATTGTCACCACTGCAGAATAGTGAAATAACTCTGCTTGAGGACTTGGTAACTAGAGTTTGAATGTTCTAGAGAAGCGAGATAAACTTCTAACTTTATTCAACACACCGCCCAAGTTAATAAGAAGGAAAGTAGATAGGATCATTTCGGGAGGACATATTATGAAGAATCGTACATCAAGGGACGAGAAGTATTGGCAGCTGGAGTGTTAAAGTTGGGTTTTAAAGTTCTTGGTATTCGAATGCCTCAAGGATACGATCGAATTGTAGCATCTGCCCTCTGAATGGGAAAGGAAGTAGGTTCAAGAGACGCAAAGTTGGTCAGGGTTAACATTACCTCAAATTATACCCCTCGTCAGAAAAGCAAATAAGGATGGCACCCAGTCTCTTTAGGAAAGCGTTTCTCAATACTCGTCTTGTGGAGAAAGTAGTATCATGGAGTCACCTTGCTGAGAAGTTCAAATGCCCCCCCCGCACTCATTTCAATAATCCAACTTAACCAGTGAAATTGGCCATGTTCCTAACTAGATACACGCTAATGAGCGAAAATGTGACTTTTTGACCGTGCAAACGCCATAATAACCGCTGTGCCATTGATAAGGTTCTAAAGGTTTCAATGAAAACGATCAACTTGAAGGTATTGTTCAACAACATGAAATGGGTTTCAACCTCATGAATACAACTAGGTTTTAAAACGACCCAATAGGCAAAGTTCCAGACAACATAATAGGAACAAACGTTTGAATTAGCAGAAATTCTCATAATGCTAAGGCAATTTACAATGCTACCAATATCTTACGAAGCCCTTCAATGTCAAGGCTATAAGTTGTTGAATAGTAACTAAGAGAGCTTTGTCTCCTCAATCACTTGCAGAAAAATGATCAGATCTTAGTTTAAAATACCTCTTGATAAGCAATTTTTCCATATTAAAAGATGAATAATTAAGACCTGAATTCTGGAACTCGAACCACCTACTTAGTCATTATCGAATAACCCGAAGCCGAATTATCATTGAATTAAGACCCGTTAATACCTTGATGTTGTCCTCCCAGTTCCTAACGCTTACTCCCCTCAATTAAAAAGGCATTTTGTGCTATATGCGGATAGTAGTAAAATTGCTAGAATGATGTGTACAATTGGGGGGCATTGTTAAGATTCACTCTTAAGGACGGCTTGCCCAATTCCCTTCTGCACTAGCAATCAAGAAGTCCAGGTTGGGGGTGGGGGGGGGGAGAGTATTATTAAGCCGTCGAACCATTTAAAGCCTTTTCTTGAGAAGGCAGATTTTACCGACACAGATCGTCCCACATGCAAACTGCATTTTTCCACTTCATGATATATGGCCTAGGAATGCACTTAGCCGAAAAATGCACATGCGTTTGTTATATGATATAAATGCATGCAGGTATTTATATATATATATATATATATATATGCATTGTCTCTTTCAACATTTATACTACTCCTCTAGCATGTAAAACTAATGTTCGATAGTTTAGGTGCATTGCAATTGGTCTAGTTGCAAATAAATCTTGTCTACTTTTACTTCCTTAATGTCCTCTACACTTAATTGCTACCTTTTGCTGACCAAAAAATAGAAACAGAAACTGGAAATTAGGTCTTATAAAATCAGCAAAATATATTTAACAGAATTTATCACTATCTTTCTTTTTTTCATTACTTAATAAGGTTGTTTCGACACTTCATTGGTGTTTTTGTGAATGAAAATTTGTGTTTTAATCAATATTGATATTTTCAAACTTTTAAGCTAGAGTGAAAATTTAACCACTTCTTTTAAGGGGGAGGGGGTGTTTATCCTAACAGTTACGTAATGGATGATTTATTTAACAAAAAATATAACAAGTTTAAATCAAAACCTCCCAAAATTATATTTAGAACATCCACTATCTCCTACATTTTAGTAGATAAAAATTGTTGTGCCAATTGGTTTTATTTTGTGTCTCTTATTGGGACAAAAAAAGATATCTGATAGTATATATATATCTTCCCTTTTCTCCCACGCAAGAACCCGAAATAAGTAGTAAAAGTTGGCCCAATGGGAAAGGGAGTATATTATGCGCGACTACTCAAACTCAACTTCCCCTTTCCTCCTTTCCTCCCTTCCTTCCACCTTCTCCAGCCCCCTAATAGTCTTTTGAAGAAACAATAAAATTTGAATTAACCCATTGTCTCTAGTCACTCATCCGCAGTCAGGCTTAATAAAAAGGCAAGCACTAAAACGCTGCAGGAGTAGTGCCATCGTATATATATATATAATTTTTGAAAAAAAGAGCCTTTCTGTTGCGAGAGAGAGCGAGAGAAGGAGAGCAAATGAAAGAGAAAAAGTGGAGAAAAAGGAGTTGATAGTTGTGCGTTCTCTCCTCCCTCCCCCACCCCCCCCCCCCCACAACATATTAACAACTTTCATAAATTGTTACACTCTNCCCCCCCCCCCCCCCCCCACAACATATTAACAACTTTCATAAATTGTTACACTCTTGTTCATGGTGGAAGAAGGGGAAGAAGAAGAAGAAGAAGACAAAGCCCTTATCATCTACTTGGTAGTAATAACAGTTTTATTCCCAAGATTATTCGACAAGAAGACTATCGTGATAATAGGCAGGATAGAAAGGATTCATTGAAAGTGAAAAAGCTCCGAGTTCTGGTTGTAGTATGGAGGTTAAAAATTAACATGCGGATGGTAATTGACTTTGGTTTTCGTGATGTAAGGAGCATGCAAGGCGGAAATTAAAATTTAAAACCATCTTCTAGACTCCATCTCTCTGTCCCTTCGTCCCACTTTAATTGGTAGAAACGCCTTGTTTAAATTTCTGAGGTGGATAGGGCAGGGGCCGGAAATGTTCCTATGGCACTCGGGTATTCAAAGGAGGGCATGGAGGGAGGGAGGGAGAGGGACGGTCAACTTCCGATTTATCCGATAAAAAGCGTCCTTTCCCAGTGGTATGGAATCAAAACATCTTCTGGGCTTCCCTCCCCATCCCCCCCCCCCCGCCAAATAAATGAAAAAATAATAAGAGTGGAAAACTATTTATGGCATTGAAAACGATGAGTGATATACTTGCAGGATTTGATTATATCCTTTATCAGTTTATATGGAATGTTGCCTTCAATCTTATCAAACTACTCTTGGATGTAATGAGGTGGAAACAAATTGGTGTTGGAGAGGACTCATCAGAGAATGATTATTATTGTCCTTTGCATATGGGAAATATGGTATTTTAATTGCAGAGAATAATTGGTATGATGGGTATGATTTCAATCACCTTTACTTACTAAATAGACACTTAACCTTCCAAAATTTTTATTTCTCCATATTTTTTCTTATTCGCCTACAACATTCATCTCATGTTAGCCAGTACTGTTTCGTCATGAAGAGTTAGTCTTGACACTTCACTAAACTGAATAAATCAAGCTATCAACAGGCTCTAAGTACAGGGAAAATAACCTCCCGGCATAAATTATGTAGCTGCTTTATGAAGAATATAAATTAGAATATTGAAATAAATGAAACACTTTTTAAGAGCATTAGCATGTTAGCTTTCCAATGATTCAAGTGAAGCACGAAACTTGGGCTCCTGACAAACTTTCTCCTTTCCCTTTATTGGATTCATTTTTCCCAGCTCTTCGCCTTTTAACTTACTTTCCGTGCTTGAAACGCATAATAATAGTAATTGCAAGCCTCCTGTAAGCGCTATTTCTAAAGCTCCTCATCGGTAGAGGAGGGCATTCAAGGAGAGAGAGAGAGAGAGTGTGTGTGTGTGTGTATGTATGAGGGAGGGGAGATAGGGACTCATATTCAGTCACACTATGTTTTCGGAGCGTAGTCATTGAAACTTTAGCCATTCCACCCACTGTTTGTGCGCAATGCCCAAGGTTAAACAATTTTGTCACACGGGGGAAAAATAAATTAAGTAAATAAACTAATTCCTTAAGACAAGAACTGTCTGCTTTATCCGCAAGATTTCTTGACTCCTGTTATCTTGGTGATTTCTCTATGCAACCAAAAGGGACATCCGCAATTTCACCTGCATTGGACTATTAAAATTTCATTGCCAATCTCTTAATCAACCTGAAAAACATTGCCTTTCCTTTCAAAGTTAATCCTAATCAATGTCATTCAGTATGACTTCATGGCATTCATCGAATATATGTTGGATGAATGGAATGGTAAATTGTCCATTAAGGTGAATGGTCAATAAGCGTGATAAAATTAGAGCTTGGGTACCAAAAAAGTTCAAATTCAACTTTGAGTTTATTTTCATGATATTGAGAGCCCAATGGCTGGTTTATTTAATCAAAACATTTGATTTTTTCAAATGGACAAATTTGTCTCTTATAATAAGTAAAATAAACAGATTGGGGCGGTTCAAGAAAAGGTTAACTAAACTACAGATAAAGTGAGATCTTATAATTTAGTACTGGTCATGATTTTGATAATGAGTTGCAACATGGAAAGCTGTCATAATAAGTAAAAATATGATCAAAGTTAATAAAATGGCAGTATTTCTAAAAGGGATAAATTTCTTTTCCTCTAAGTGGAAGGAATAAGAAATTGGAAATACGTCATGAAAGGGAACAATTTTGGCATCGAATGCTCATCAAATAAATTGCGTTTCAACTTTATACTCGAATGCCAGTACCACAGAGTATCTCACTTTTGGCAAAGGCCATACCTTAAAGAAGGCACCACCAAAACATTGTTAGGCATAGCGTACCATATTTGCCTTTCAATTTGTGTAATGATGTTATTAATTCATGTCCAATAATTGTTGGAAATACCTTGTTCTCCGTGAGCAGAATTAATGTGTATTTGTTTATTTATTTGTAACTGAAATTTTCCATTCCTGACATTTAAATATATATATATATGGAATACATGTTTTAATTCACTCTATTAAGTCCCTAATAATTTTGTTCCTTTCACATTATGTCGTAAATCAGATGTAATCGGTAGGAAAAAGTATATTTAATCCCAGGGATACGCTCATTTCAATTACCCTGCCCATTAAAGTTGAATTTATTGTATTCAAATTTTCCTACTTACTGGACGAGAGAAATTTCATATCTGATGACTTCAGTAAATGCTTTTAAAATTTTTACCCATTCCTTCTCCACTGATTTAAAAAGAAAATGAAGGGAAAACAGTGAAATCAAAAAATCTAAACTGAAGGATAAGTGAAAAGACAAAAGTGAACCATGCTTGAAGTTATTACAATTAGCGCTTTTTGCACTTAACTACGGCAAAATGAGATTAAAATGTAGAACTAACCTTCCGGATAGTCGGTTGTGTAGACAATCGGCATCGTCTGGCACGTGGAGTAATGAAGATTATTTCCATTCCTTCCTCCTGAGTCCTGCCTCTTGGAGGGGAAATCCCGAATGAAAAGGAAGGTCAACAGTCCAAGAACCACAATAAACATGGCAAAAATAACTACAGCCACGATGAAGAGATACTTTGCTTTTGATTGACCCAAAAGTGAGTTTGAATCCCCGCCTATCTTCTCTTGTGCAGTTCTGTTCAATTTGACATCCTTGTCAGTTGTTTGGTAATCTTGTTTCTTATCATCCCCACCATGAGTCCAAGCATGTTTAGCAGTCGTTCCATTTAACTTATTGTGCTCTTGAGACTTATTATGGATAAGTGGGGCAGTAGTTGTTGAACCATCTCCAATAAACAGACGTATTCTGGCTGTCTTACTAAATTGATTCGAACCCAGATCCATGACTGTGACGTAAATCTGGTGTTCTACGGGAGATCTTGCGTGTTTCAAACTGCTGCTCTTTATCAGTTCTGTTAGAGGCTTGATCAAAATTAGATGAGTGCACTTTTCTTCATTCATCACATCTTCAATTGGACCGATATCAAAATAGGGCCTCAGATATTTCGCGCAGCGTAGAGTAAAGTTTATTTTGCTGTTTTCTTCAAGGTCATTGTCTTTGGCACATATTCGTAGCACGGAAGAATTTACAGGTACATCATGGGTGATATTTACTGTAGCTGCTCCAGCATGAGGAGCCTTAGTTAGACCTGGGGGTTCAGTGAAGACGGGGCCATTATCATTTTGGTCCATTAAGCGAACTGTTACCCCTATTTCTGAAGTCAGACGTTGATGTAAAGGCCCACTGTCTGAAACAATCACCGTAAATTCATGTTCCTTCTGAAATTCGCGATCAAGAACTCCATCAACATATAGTTGCCCTTTTCGGGATATCCGAAAATAGGCCGGCGCGTTTCCTTGCCAGTAGGTACCTGTTGGCTGTTTAATAGAGAAATCTAAAGTTGCATTTGCTCCGTTATCCTGATCGGTCACGTTAATCTGGCCAAGAAATCTATCAATAAGTCTCTCTTGATCAAAGGATTCGGGTATTTCTAATACGATTCTTCCTGACTCGTTCCAATTTCCTTGAAATACAGGAGGCGAATCGTTTACATCATATACGGATATATTGACATTGGTTGAGGAACTAAGCGGTGGTTTGCCTCCATCTGTTGCCATTACTGTGACGCAGTAATATGATATGGCTTCTCTGTCGAGAGGTCCCAGAGTTGTCACCTTTCCGGTTCGTTCATCAATTCTAAATGATAAGTCCGAATCATTTAAATCGCATGATTTAATGGTGTACTTAAGAACTGCATTTACACCGAAATCAATATCATTTGCTTGTATATAGCCAACAACAGTTCCTTCAGGTTTATTCTCCTGAACTCCAATATCTAAATTACTTCGAAACTTTGGCAGATTATCATTAATATCCCAGATGCCAATATCGATTGTTTGGCGAGCTATGTTGGCTTGGGGATGACCTCGATCGGCGCAGATAATGGTGACCTGAACTCTTGACGTTACTTCTCTATCTAGTTTCACCCCACTCTTCTTTATAAGGATAAACACGGTAGGTACTTTGATTGCAGCTGATGGAGTTTTCAGTGGTATTAGAGTGAAAGGATTCGATCCGATTAGGTTATTCCATTCCACGTCACAACCGATAGCAGCATTGTCCCCTGTATCTGCATCCGATACCGTGATTGTTGCGAGTTTAATCTCCATTTCATCCTCCTCTGGCATCCAAATATCCGTATGTCTGTAGTAGCTCCAATCCGAAAGATTTTCTTGAGGTAGTGGACTTAAAGACGTGACAGTTATTCTGGGTGTATTATCGTTGCAGTCTTCAAGTGTAACTTCTATATTTGTCACATTAGTCAAACCTCCGCCATCCCTTGCCTCAACCGCAATAGAGAACTTTGATTCTGTTTCATAGTCCAAGTGTCCAATAATGTACACCTTATCTCTATGTACAACAGTTTTATAACCTACAGGACTATCGGATTTCTTGGGAATAACACTATATTTAATTTGACCATACTCCTTACTGTCTGCGTCAACTGCTGTCAACTGAATGAGGAATCGAAAAGGAGTATCGTACCCAAAGCCACTGACACGAAGAAACGATCGTAGCTCAGCACTGGTTTTCCATAAAGACTGCTGTTGTTGATGAATACATTCCGGAAGATGAATATGATAAGGCAGACCAGTCCACTGTGGGCTATTATCGTTCACATCTTTGATCTCAACGTCCACTAAAAGAGTACCCACTAGTCCTTCTCCGTCGTAAGCGTGAAGACAGTAGTAGAGGTTGTGGAATTTCTCATAATCCAATTCACCAATTTGTCTCAGTTGAGGAGTATGATCCTCTGCCATTGCTAGAGTGAAGTGCATGTCCTCATTAGCTGTGTAAGGCGGGCAGTTCTGGGGATTTGTAACAGAGTGAACTCTATTGAGATGATAGCTAACTATTCCATTGTTACCGAGGTCAGCGTCCTTAGCAGAAGGGAGGTAAAAGAGCCCACCGATTGGAGAGGATTCTGGAATTGATATTGTGGTGGTTGATGGCTCAAATGAGGGTGCGTTGTCATTTTCATCAAGGATTGATAAATAAATAGTTTCCAGGAAACTTTCTTCACTTGTGGTTATATGAACAAGGAAAGCAACCTCACAAGATGGATTATCAAAATGTTGAGAAATTAGAGAAATATTTGCAGATTCGTCATTTTCACAGATCACCTCTCTATCGATTGATTGAATTGTCAGGATGCTTCCATTTGTCGTATGAATCAGTATGTAATCGGCGATCGGTTTCCCAGCAAGGCTAGTGAAAGACTTCTGATGTTGGACATTGAGTTGGCCGATGAGAGTACCAGGGGCTGTATTTTCTCTGACGAGGAATCGGTGAACGTAGGGTGTCTCGCAGACTATGAGAGGTAGAAAGGTGAGTACCCAGATAAGTGAAAGCATTTTAAACAAAGAAGACTTCCATTGAGTCAGGAAAGTGTACCCTTTTTGTGCCCATCCTACGTTTGGGGAGGAGCTTATGATTTTTGGCTTGAGCAAACGCCCGACCAATCAGAGAGCCAAAAATATCTGATTGGCGAAGAGTGCTTGAGTGAATTTATATACTCACAGAGATGATTTACTAGCACACTACTATGATTGGTGGCCGTAAAATATAATATTTTCTTCGAGACTACTATTTTTTAAATTGTTTTTAAACAAATCGAAGAAACTACATTTTGTAATAAAACAACCAAATCGATTAAAATATGTAAAATAGTTAAATTAGAAAATGGGAAAACCTTTATTTAGAAATTATTTGAACCAGTTCCAAGGGTAGGCAGCTAAGTTATTTACTTTTTAAAAAAAAATGTAAGATATATTTGGGATTAAAATAGAATAAAATCAGTGTCAGTTTTAAGTATTGGGGAGGCAGATTTACCTCAAGTAGCAAATAATATTTAATTTGTCGCAAAGATATTTTTCAGATTAAATTAATTTTTTTTTCAAAATTCTCTAATGAAATGACGTTTTACATGTTCTCTTCAACAACTGCGATTTGACATCACCGAAGGGAGAAAACGCAAAACAATGAGAGAGCAACACAATGGCACTTCAGTCGACTTGGATGGATGATTCCTTTGCTTGGATAAAATTAAGAATGACTGAAAGAACAAAACAAAAATCAACCCACTTTTTTCATTTATTTTAGAATATTTAATCAGTGAAATTTGGTCAATATTTCATTATTTTTTTTTATTATTAATGAGGAAAATCAAAATGTGCTTCGGTTTCTTGCTATGACATTGAGACTGGAAAAAATTATTAACAACTGATTTAAATATTCTACAATTGGTGTTTCATCTAATTTAAGGAGGAAACGATTATTAATGAAATTCTTTTAATTACATTTGGGCTTACATACCATTTTTGGATGACATCACATATCTCACTCCATCTTCCAAATAGAAGTTGCATAAAGGCCATGAGTAACAAATAAATGCCATTTTGGACACTGTTGAGATATCTTCCGTTTTTTTCACGAAAAAGAATTAAATTTCGAGCTGAAAATTCTTGGCAGTTGAATAAGTAATTTAAATCTTACTATTACTGTCGTAACTACCTCTATTCAATATTCAATGGAATAAGCGTAAAGTGGCTGTAGAGAATAGTGAAAAATGTTGTTTTTTTTACTGTTCACTATTAGTTAATACCCAGTATTTTTGCGAATCTTAACTGATAAAATCAGGATACCAGAAATTAGTAATGAAACACAAAATTTTGTAATTTTTTAACAAATAAAGTGAGTGCAGTACACAGGGCTCTGCTAACTTAATTTTTTATCCACGTTAAGACTGCAAGCTGCCAAGTTAAAATATGAATGATCAACTCGTCCGCTCAACCACTGAAACATAAACTTAAATGAAGCGGCAACATTGGTTTTTCATAGGTAATGAATATCTTAAGCAGGCATTTGCCACAATTCTGCGGATGGATCAGGGAAATTAACTTCTGGAACATTTATATCAAATAGCAGGCTTTGTGTTAGTTAACATTAATCGTTTAATGAACTTCGAGCTTCAAGGAGGGGGAGAAACATCAAAGTCATAACAGTGGAGAGAGGAAACAGAAGAATGATTCACAGATGTAAAAGAGACAGACACAAATGCAGATATTAGGGTAATTGAGTACTTAGGAAGTGGTGGAATATGACATACAGTAGGGTTAGGGTAGTTTGAAGTCAGAAGACAACTCCCGGTTTATTGACTTTTTTTGCAGGAAGAGTAAGCGTTGCCAAGAGTGCACCACATGGAGGTAAGTCTATCGCATATCACCACTCCTGAAACATAGACTACACAATTGGTGAATACTTTGAAATCTGACGCTGTTGTCAGCTGCTTCTCACAACCGAAAGGTATACTTATTTTTACGCTACTATGGGTAATCGAGTAAAGTATATTTCTGAATAAAATTGATTTAATACTTTTTTTGCTGAGACACTGCATGTTCCTAAAACTAAACCCTCGTACTAAAACATGTAGCTAAGTCATTTAAATGTCCATTATTTAATCATTAAACTATTCTAAAGATCAAGAAAATACTCATCGTAATATTCGTTCAGTGTTGATTTCTTGTTTTAATTTTGTAAAAAACAAATACCTTTTAAACCATCGAACATTTTAAGCGCATTAACGATTTGAAACGTTTAAATTTCACATATTTTCATCCAATAATCAATGGTCACCTGTTTACTTGACTATGTATATTTTGTTATCTCAATGTTTATGTTTGAACTAGGTCAGAAAGGATTTATCATGGTTAGGGCTTAATATTTACGGCCATTATTGCGCTTGTAGCGGATTGTCAATCTCCTAGATTCATTTGGGAGACAATTTTAAGATTTTGTCACTATTTTGTGTAAAACATACACAACTGACAGATAAAATATCTAAAATTGGTATGGAAGTTATAAGTTGTCAATATAATTCGAATTTTATCATTCGAACATTTTGACCATCTTGATTTCCTTATTTAAGCAAGAAATAAATTGGTGATAAGGATCTTCCAGTGGAGCTCCCTCCTTGCCAACATTTTTAACTTAGTAAAAACTAATGATATACTGAAAATTAGATAAATTATTTGAATAATTAATTTCTATTTATTACTTATTATCATTTATTATTTAAGTAATTACAATGATGTTTGTAATTTTGACCTACAGTCTTAGTAAATATCAAATTTCCTCTTTCTTGGAGCAAATTAAAACGAAGGAACCATTGAAATATTATTTTTTCAAGCAATCCAGTAATTACTTTTTACTGTTCAAGCTATATTAAAATTGCATGATTATTCACAGGATGCCCAAAACTTTTTGTCAAAACGTTCTCATTATCATTTCTATTGTGCTTGCTTAATTTATTCCAATCACATGTCCCCCGTTGATTAGGAGATTAGCATAAGAGTTAACAGGAATGACTTGACATATCACTAGCTCCAATAAGCTCCGTCTTAAATTCTTGCGATAATAGTTCATTAATGACTTTTAAGCTATTGCGTTCTACTACAAAATATGACATAAAATGCTTTGCACTCTGAGAACATAGAATGAGACAAAGAAAATTAATGAAATGGAGAACAGCAATAGCATAGGTGCCCGAATTTCTTAGAGATTTAAACTTCCTACACTTGAAATTTTTTCTCTCTATTAAAGCAGTATTCCCCTCTGCTCATTGTGCTAGATATTAGATGAGGCTACTAATATCGTAATTAAGGCGGTAATATGCAATTATTACCGAAAGTAGGGGAAAAAAGCTGGTGTTTTGATTTCTTTCCGCGGTCATACTTATTGACGATTGTACAATCGGATTCGCAAGAATTTATATATATTATTATTTTAAATGCCAGGCTTTATGATATTTATCATTAGCCCTTAAACATTGATTTCAGCTTTCCCCTGGGTGGGGGGG